TCCCGCGAAAGAAGTAAAGAGAGACATAGTAGTAAAGAAAAGGATAAAAGCAGGGACAAGCACAGAGACAGAGAGAGGAGAAAGGATTCGGAAGAGAGGAGCGGCAGAGAGAGGCGAAGTTCCAAGGAAGACGGAGAGGGAAAGAGAAAGGAGGAGAAAGAAGGAGTTGAGACCACAAAGGAAGGAAGCAGTGACAGGAAGGATCGGTCACCTAGTGCTCCAAACCAGGACAGTGTTCCCATGACATCGACTCAGAACTCTCCGCGAAGAACGAACCACAAACCTAGAATGACTTTGGAAGAAAAAATATTCCAGGTGAGTGCACTTCAGAAGAAAAATAAAAAATATTAATTGTTGGATCTTTAGGGTGGTAAGAGTAACAGCTACCCCTTACTGTAGGATTTGCCTTCTTAACTTTTTCAATTTGTAAAACTTTTTTAAGTTAAAAAAGTTGGCCATAAATCCCCAAGATTATAGAATTTTGCCTTTTCAGTTATAGTGTATACATCCTCTTTCTTCTGTCTACTTATTCATCTGTCTATCCATTTATCTATATAAAACTATTCCTTTTACATATTATTTTTCCTCATATTACCCTGTCAAGGCTTCTTGCTCCTTTTTCTTGTCTATGGAACATTTTTCCAGAAGTGCCTGTGATTATAGTTGTACAGATGTTCTTGTGAGTTGACAGAGATGGATAGATAGATAGATAGATAGATAGATAGATGTAAAGGACTTGGATATATGTGCTTAATAGGTATTTCCCATGATAAGAATCAAGCTAGTATCCAAGGTTTAGAAAAATAATAGTAACCTGCAATCAACAATGATTTACTGCATTCATTTGTAAAGTTTAATTATAGTTAATTTCCTGATGCAACGTGTGTGTGTGTGTGTGTGTGTGTGTGTGTGTGTGTGTGTGTGTGTGTGTGTGTGTGTGTGTGTGTTTTATGGATTTCTTCATAGATAGACAGTTCACCAAATAACACCTGCTAAGTCATAATGTATGAATGATTATTATACCATTAACTACAAATTAAGTTTAGAAATTCTTCATTGCAGAGGGAACTGGAAGCTGCTCTTGCAATTTCAAAAATAGAAACTGTGGGAAGTCCTCCATCAGAAGATAAACCACAACAAGCTGATAAACCACAAGAGGACAATCAAACCAAGGAGAAGGAAGACAAAACTGAAACTACACCATCTGAGCATTGTTCTATCTTACCCACTGCAGTCACAGCCAAAGAGAACCATGTTCCTCCCCAAGAAGAGAACACGGATATCAAAATCAAGAAAGTAGATGTGAACATTGCCGAAGAGAGAGGGCCGTCACCAAGCATTGAAAGAGCAGCCAAGCAAGATCAGGAATCTACGGCACCAGAGGACTCAAATTCCTCGGCAGCACCAAAGGCGGAGGAGCCAAAACTTACAAAGTCAAACCAAGAAGAGCCAGAACCTACAAAATCGAACAAAGAGGCTGATTCAGTGCCTACCAAGTCCAGTATAAAGGCAGAGTCAGTGCCTACTAAGTCCAGTATAGAGGCAGAGTCAGTGCCTGCCAAATGCAGTATAAAGGCAGAATCAGTGCCTACTAAGTCTAGTATAGAGGCAGAGCAAAAGTCTACAAAGTCCAGCAAAGCAGCGGAGCCAAAACCTGCCAAGTCCTATAAAGAAGAGGAGCCGATGCCTGGAACATCCTGGGGCCTTACTAGCAAGAGACCAAGAAAGACTGTTGTCTTTAAGGAAGGTAATTTGCTTTAGTGTGTCTTTATTATCTTTTATGTATATATATACCTGGTATTTGTTTATTTTCTTTCTTGTTTTTTCCATTACTTAGCATTTAAATTGTGATATTCATGATATTAGTGCTGTTATATATCCAAGTATGTATGTAATATGCATTATTGTGTAGTTCTGTCATAATGTGCTTAGTGTCTCTTTTAAGCGTAATAATTTCAATGGGGGATGATTTTAAAGATGGTATATCGGTGTTGAATTGTACATAATTATATTTAATCACCTCTTTTTTAAAAATACAGTAAAAAAAAAAAAGGAAGTACTCCCTTGCATAGTGAAATTATTTTGGCTGAATAACAAAATCTTTGAAGCATAGTCCCTTTGTTACTTTTAAAGAGAATTAATTTTGAATATGTTTTGTGTAACTTCTCTTTCAATGGTTTCCATATATTAAATAGACTATAATTAATCAGATTTTGTTATTGATTTGTTTTATTTATTTGCTTTTTTTCTTTTTCTTCCTAGATAGCGATTCAGACAGCTTTGATGGCTTTGACGATGGCGAAGCCTCAGATTTCTCGGAGGAAAGTGACTTTGCCCCAAGCCCAAAGAAGAAGGCCAAGAAGGGAAAAGAGAAGAAAGAAAAGCCACCCAAGAAAAAGGCGACTAAATCATCGACCAACACAAAAGCCAAAGACAGAAATCCTCCTCCGGAACCCTCTCTCCCTAAAACACTGCCGGCTGCTAAAAGTTCACCACCCAAAACAAAAGCTACAGAGAGAATTCCTTCCGTGGTGTCCTCCCTTCCAAAAACGCCAGCAGCAGCAGCAGCAGCAACAGTTTCCTCCGCCAAGAGAACGCCAGTTTCCGAATCAAAAGAAAACACAGCACCTCGGATACAACCTCCAGCTGCGTCAAAGGCTAAACCAAGTATACCTCCTAACAGAACCGTTAATAATGCTAGTAGAATAAAAACTTCCCAAACAACGGCTTCCAGAGAGACGGCTAGTTCTTCACCCGGCTCGGGAGGTGTTACAAAATCTGCGGGACTTGTTAGATCACAGTTCAAAAGCCCGGTCCTCAATGCCCCAGGGGTTTCGTCAGGAAATTCACCCACCTCGGGAAGACCTATTGGTTTGCGTCTCGGCCTTTCTCGGAGGGCGAATTTCAAGCCTTTACACCCAAACATGTCTGCGAAGTAAATAATTAAGCTAGATTATCAAGTTGATGCTCTTTTAAATGTACATCTCTAATTCTATATATTTTTTTATTGTGAAAGTATGAGGCTTATAGTGTAAATATATTTGTGACCTTTCTATATAATTGTAAGATATTGCTATTGTTATT